AGTCTTGTGAAATCGAGGCAATGGCCACGCCTGGCAGGGACATGAGTTGCAGTGACCGTGTGCCTGTCCTGTGACCTCCCACCTTGAGGAGGGGCTCACCTGGGGGAGCAGCCAAGCAGGTTGTCCCAGGCCCAGGCCAGGGCTGAGGCCTTTTGCACAGCAGCGTGGCTGGCGGCAAACACGTGTGGAGTAAAAGCCACTGGCCACCTTGAAGAAACTGGAAGTGGGTGTTTTGTGTGTGGTGGAGCTGAAAATTGAGAATGATGACGGAATTATTAAAAACAGCCTTCTCGGCCCCAGACTCCTAACTCCCTCTGGGCCGAGAGCTGAGGAGTGAGCACTGCAGCATCCAGATGGGCACTGGGGGCCGGGAGCTGGGAGGGTGGCCCTGGGCTCGGGCTGGTGGGCGGTCAGCTGTGTTGGGGTCCGGGGAGTGGAGCAGGTGCTGGACCCCAGGCCTGGGGCTCTGGTCTGGGGGAGCTTGACGGGTCGGGTGATGGTCCTGTGGAATGAGGGGGCTGCAGGGCTCTGGGTGGCTGTGGGGCAGCCAGGTTGGGAAGGGCTGAGAGAGGAAGCAGGACTGCAGGACGCTCCGAGCCTTAATGTGGCTACAGCAGCAGACATATTATTAAGCACTTACTCTGAGCCAGAAATAGTGCCAAAGGCTTTGCTCTTGTCTTCAGCATGTGGGAGGAGAGAGGCCAAGGCCTGGAGGCTGTGCTCAGCCAGTGGGTGGACGGCTGATGTTTTCCTCAGATCTGTCTACCCAAAGGCCCGGGCTCTAACCATTGTCCCTCACTCCCTGTCTTCCCAGGGAAACCGGGGCACCCCGAGACCATGCAATCTGATGCTCCCACTTCTCTTACTGCAAGATGGAGCCTCCGAAGAGCAGGGTGGCTTCTCCCGGACCGCTGAGTGATCAGCTGTGGGTGTCTCCTCCTCCATCCCCTTCTCTTCCCACAGTCCCTCCCCAGGGGGCCCTCAGGGTGAGGATGGAGGGGGCACCAGGGCTGTCCGCTGGTTGTGGGTCATATGTGCCTCAATTGTTCTATTGCTTGGGTTCAAATCCCAACTCCATGACTCTGTAGCTTTGCGACTTTGGACAGTTTCTTAACCTCTCGTCTCTCGTCTGTGACTAGAGATGACAATCCCCCCAATCAGGTTTAATATTGGCTGTTATTTGAGTTGATATATGCAAGTGTAGGGGAAGTCTTGGGACTCGGGGCTGGAGACCCTCTTGGGTCTAGGGTCTGCATCAGTTGCCTGAGTTCAGGACTGGGTTGGCCAGGCAGAGCCTGTCACAGAGGAGCCGAGCCACCTTCTTGAAATTTCTCATGAAAGGGACAAGGATCTCCAGACAGGAGGTAACCGCCCTTCCTTGGTGCGTTTTTACCAGTGGCCAGCAGATGGCAGAAGCAAGCCAGGAACGGGGCCTGAGCCTTGCCCAGCCCAGCCCGGCTGCTGCCTTTGAGATCCTGGGCATCTGCCTGTTCGATGGAGACCGCTGTGGAAGAAGGTCCTTCTGTCCAGCAGGATTCTCAGGATGTTCAGAGCTGGTGTGGCTGGCACGAGGGCCCCAGCCCATGCCTGCTCCCTGAAGGTGTTGATGTCCACATCTGCCCAATGGTCCTAGGGGAGGGCGGGTTGTCCCTTTCTAAGTTCCCGACTGCAGAGGAACTTTATGGCTGGCATGCCAAGGCTGGGGAAGAAAACGTGACCACATATCCCTGTTATTCAATAGGGGGCTCTTGACAATGACCCCACAGGCCATGCACTTGCTCAGGGAGCCCTTGGTGACCTCTGGGCCTGGTCCTCTCCCAGGCCTGGGGATGCAGTGGGAGCAGCACACACAAGGCCCAGATCATCATCTGGGAGGCCAAGTCCTTGTGGAAAAGAAAACAGCGAGTAGAGGTAAGCAAGAGGGAGTGGAGCAGCGCAGGGCAGGAAAGCAAGCCACGCAGGAGCTCTGACCGCTGCACGGAGCGGTCAGGAAGGCTGAGGCCTGGGTGCCAGGGGAGCTGGGCAGAGGGACAGCCAGGCACACACTGGGAGGAGGGATGAGCTGCTCATGCTTGGGACCTAGACAGGAAGACTGTGTGGCCAAGCAGGATGCCCAAGATGGGGTGAGGGGGTGCAGATGCCTGGGACCCGGTCACCTGAGTGCAGGGTCAGGGATAGGCATGCTTCCCAGGAAATAGAGTAAGTGTCCTGTGATGGCCAGATAAGCCATCTCCCACTGAGGACTGGGCTTCTGAATCTCGCAGACCTTCTACTTCCAGTGGCCCCTCCCAGGCGGATCTGGGTGCCCAGGGCAGCTGGAAACCTGACATCACTTCCCCTGCAAGTGTGGGCTCCTGTGCACATCGGGCGCCTGGGCCCTCGCGGGGAGGCTGGGCAGATGGAGCCTGAGCAGAAGCTCCGCGCGCCCTGGCCCTGCTGGTCGCAGCTCCTCCCCAGGGCGTGCTTGAGAGCCAAGACATGTTCCCCACATGTGAGGATTGCTGTGCGAGGGGCGCTGAGTGCAGGGAGAGGTGGGGGAGGCCCAGGGGAGGGCGGGTGGGGACCTGGAAGGGTGGCAGTGGGCAGTGACTGGTCGCCCTCAGCGACCCAATCACAACACCTGTTTCCTGCTTGAGAGGCTCTCAGCCGCATCTTCGACACACACATGTAAATACGCACGCACAGAAAGACAAACCCATGTGTGCACACTCATACACATTCATCCACACCTGCACACACACAGATATTCATGTACATACATACATAAGCCCACACCCACATGTGCATGATGGCTATACACACGGATATGTGCATCGATATACACTGAGGCACACACATCTGCACACACGTGAATCTATACACATAGATATGCACCACACAGACACATGCTCATGTGGATGTATGTGAGGATACATATGCATATGCATGTAGACACATGTAGCTATTTTTGCACAGCTACACATGCACATGCATGTGTGCACAGAAACATACACATTTGTGCAAACATGTACCCATACAAATGCATCACACAGATGCACGTACACCTATACGATACACATGTATACGTGTATGCACAACACACACATACCCTTGACATGCATGCTACAGAGACACGCAGGAATGTATTCATGAATGTGTGGGGGTATAGACACACACCAGCAGACATAATACACATAAAGCGCACACATGCACACTGCTATGGTCTGAATGTGCCCTTCCCAACTCCATACATGGCAACTTAACCCCAATGTGATGTCCTTGGAGCGGGGCCTGGGGAGTTGATGGGTCATGATTATGGAAAGCACTGGCCCCTCATGTGAAGGCTGGAGGAGACGTGCTGGTCTTTGGCTCCCCCATCTCCTGCCTTGTGAGGACCCGCGTCCATCCCCCCAGATGATACAGAGACAGGTGCCCCACACAGAGGCTGCTGTGAACTAACCGTGGACTCCACCATGGAGAAATGACTTTCTGCATCTGTAAGCAATCTGTGCATCTTGTTGTACAGCAGGAAGGTGCAAGACACACATGCACATCCCTGTAGATCTCCATGCACACAGACACACACACACATAGATCTCCAGCATGCAGACACACACGCA